TCCCACCTCCCTCTCTGCCTCTGACTGTCGCCTCCTTTATAAAGCCCGCCTCTCCTGTCACCCCATGTGCGTGCCCCTCACTGCTGCTGCTAGCCCCGGGCTCCATGGACCGGTAAGCAAGGCTATCCCCTGTCTAGCACAGGGACCTCTGCAAAGAAGACCAGGTCTCCACTCTAAAGAGATCATAGAGAGGGGTCTGGAAAGCTTGCCACTTTCTCAGTTTAAGATGGGGATAAAAGGGAGATGGGGGTTGGGGAAGGACCAAAAGGGATCTCTGGGAGGTCTTTGGAGTGGGTTGGGCTTAGATCTGGGCAAAATGTGGAGCAGGGATTCAAGACTCGGGACTTCAATTTGAGAGAAAGTATGAGTGAATATGAATGAACATACAGGGTGTATACACACACACACGCACACGCGCGTGCGCACACACACACACACACACACACGCATGCGCGCACTCGCACACACAGCCATGAAAAACACCAGCAGAGATTATAAGGGAAGAACACTGGACCTGTCTACACCTGGTACACCTGATACACATAAAGGAGAGAAGAGTCACACAGTTGTACACACACATACAATGCTGGTCTAAGAGGGACTCATCCTGGGGTTGGGGATTTAGCTCAGTGGTAGAGCGCTTGCCTAGCAAGTGCAAGGCCCTGGGTTCGGTCCTCAGCTCTGGAAAAAAAAAAAAGAGGGGCTCATCCTTTAGACTGAAATCAGATCATTGCTAATAGCCTTTGGATTCATCAATGAATCAGCCAAGCGCTTGGGCCTAGTAGATGCTCACTGTCTTTTAAATAAATGAAGGATAAATAAAACTGTCCGACCCCATATCTGGACTCTGCCTGGTTTTCCAGGAATCTGGGAGAATCGGCAGTAACAGAAGAAAGAGTTGGTGTCCAGGCTCACCAGGTTGAAGTTTGGGAAACACGAGTAGTAGGAAATAGTGAGGAACTAGGAACCCGGAAACTAAAAGATAGGGTCTAGCCTTCTCTGACTCTAACTAGCTGGATGACTTCGAGCTGCTTGTCTCCCTGTTGAAGGGTTTGGTTTTCCTATCAGTACTTCGATTAGATAATTTTTATTGTTAGAGCAATTTTGTTGTGGTGGTTGTGGTTTGAGACAGGGTTTCCTGTAACCCAGGCTGGCCTTAAATTTACTCTATAGCTGAGGATGACCTTAAGTTCCTGAGCCTCTGCCTCTACCTCCCCAGTGCTGGGATTCCAGTATTTATCACCTCACCCAGTTTTATTTGATGCTGGGGAATTGAACCCAGGGCTTTATACATGCTGAGCAAGTATCATGCCAACTGAGCTGTCTCTCCAGCCCCTCACAGTGTGCAGGCAACTTGAGGTCTGGAAAGGAACATGTGTGTGGAATGTGGTTTGTTCCAGCAATTCAAGGTAGATCAATTCACTCTGTCAGACAAAAGATGTCAGTGCCTTGAACCAAGGAATCTGTTAAGAATGTTGTGCCTTTCACCTTGGAGACCTGGGGGAGCAACCCCAGGTCCATCACTTTTTGTCAGAGTGAAGCCAGACAGAATAACAGGTAGAATGTGGGCTTTGGAGTTGGACTTCTCTGGACTCAGTTTCCTCTTGTGTCTCTTAACATGTCTGTAATCTTGGGCATTTAGCTTCTTTGATCCCTGGCTTCCTCATCTGTACAGTGGGAATGAGAGCGGTAATTACTTCATTGCATGTCATGAGAATTAGAGGTATTTGTGGAGACTAAGTACCCAGATGGAGTGCACATAGTAGGCACTAAATAAATAAATGCTGCTTCTGATGAACATACCAGCCACAGAGGCTGCTATAGGCGCAGCATGAATTGCTTACAATAAAAGGTATTTGAGATGAGGCTGGCAGGTTAGAGGAGACAGAGACTTGGGAAAATCTAAGACTTTAAGAGAATGAAAGGAAGAAATAGAAGTGAACCATGTCCCGAGCACATCTCTGTTCAATTTTGAGTCAGGATGAGAAGAGGGGTTAGGATGACCTTGGTAGTCAAGTCAATATTAGATCACAATCTGTCATTTGGTAGGAAAACATCCAGCAAATGGGGGAATTGAACCAGTTGGAAGTCAAGGAATAAAGTCTAGGATGTCTGAGAGAAAGAGAGACAGGCAGGACAGGGAGATGGAATGGCTAAGCAGTATAGGAGTGACCTCCCTACAGGAATCTCATACCCATGAGCCATGAGCAGTGGCAGGGTCTTTGCTCCAGGATGAGGCAGTGTTAAGGAGAACCTGGGGTGGGGTTTCTGCCATCCTCTTCCCAGGTGCTTTCCAAGAAAAGATAGGCCGGCCTCATGGGGGGAAATGAGGGAGTTAACGCATGGATGTTAGCTCATGCGTTAGCTCATGCCTGCCCGGCCCTTCGCACCAGCTTTGCCTGTCTGGCCCTAAGAGAAGTAGATCAGTGGCAGTGGTTCAATCCCCCTAACGCTGTGACCCTTTAATACAGTTCCTCATGCTGTGGTGATCCCCAACCATAAAACTATTTCCCTGTTGCTTTACAGCTGTAATTTTGCTACTGCTATGAACCGTAATGTAAATATCTGATATGTGGGGTTGGGGATTTAGCTCAGTGGTAGAGCACTTGCCTAGCAAGCTCAAGGCCCTGGGTTCGGTCCTCAGCTCTGATAAAAAAAAAAAAAATCTGATACGCAAGATATCTGATAGGTGACCCCCCCCCAAAGGGGTTGAGACCCACACACACTGGTTACAGTAGATGCAACAGACTACAGACAACTGGGAAGGGAGACTGGGATATAGAGGGGTCTGATTAGTGTTACTCCAGGAGCCAGAGTCATTCAAGTACGGCTCTGCTTCTGACATGATGAACCTCTAACTGGGTGCTGGAGGTAACTATGATCTGAGAACGCAAACCCTACTAGTCAGAATTTGGAGGCTGGGTGGACCAACCCTGTCGATAAAAAGTGTGAAGTTGGAGACAATCAGCCAAAGGGATTCTTAAAAATCTGTTATGTATTCCCAAAGGCAGGGAAGAGAGAACTCCTTGCTGTTTATCAACCTCTCCCTAATATGTCTTCGATTTCCAAATGTCTATCCTTTACTCCCAGGTCAAGTGAGGAAGCTGAGGCACAGAATAATCTAATCCTCGAGGGCCACTGTAATAGATGCAGCACTGGGTTTAGAACTTAGGTTCTTGAATTTCTAGTCCAAAGGGTTTTATGAATGTCCTTTACTCTGTCCTTTACTTTGTACAGGTAACAAATTTATTTTTAAAATGATTAAGGGGTTTATTATGTTTTTAGCAGGGATCTCACAGAATTTGCTCTTTTAGGTACAATTTATTTAAGCCCCAGGAAAATCTCACAGCGTGTGCCCAGGTTATCCAGGCAAAGGGCTCCAGTTTTAGGAAACACAAAGGTGTTCAAATGGCTACAACTCTGACCGCTAGGAACAGCCGCATACTCGGGAAAATCCATACACACACACTGTTCAGAAGCCTCATTGACTCAGTTAAGCTGTTTCAAAGTCGTACTTTGTTTCAAAGTGCAGCTCAAACGCGAACAGAGGGCAGGTAAACTATTCTGAGTAAAATGAGAATCTGTGATCCTAGAATTTGGGAAGTTGAGGCTGGAGGATCTCTGGTTCGAGAGGCCAGCCAGCATGAGCAACTGAGTCATGGGGTGGGAGGGTGGGGGGGAGAAAGAAGAAGGGAGGGAGAGAGATAATGAGATTAAATCAGCCTAAATTCAGAACTCTCGAAAATTGACCGTAAAACGTGCATAGGGAAAGCTAACAGCGATAACAAAACAAACAACGAAAATCGCGTTAAAATCCCGTGTAAAAAAGGGTCAAGTCGGGCTGGAGAGATGGCTCAGCCGTTAAAGGCTAGGCTCATAGCCAAAAATATAAGGGTCAAGTCACCTCTAAGGTCAACGGCTGGCTCGGAAGGAGGCGGGAAAGACCCATGAGCTACTTCCAATCTGGCCATCAGGGCAGAGAGTTAGGGGGACTCTGGCACCCACCTGAGCTGGGGGTGGTGCAGTGCCTCAGGATTTCCACCAATTCGGATCTTGAGAGTTTTGTTTCGGTGAGTGGCTTTGTGGATGTGCTGAAAATGTACCAGAATGTGGCTTTGCATGCGAGCGTTTATTTAAGCCATCCGAGACCTTTCTCTAAACTTATACTCAGCTGAGACTAGGAAAGAGCCAGTGACAAAAAGCCTTGTACAATCCGTTGCTGAAATGTTCCTTCCCAGGGCCATTCAGGTGCCTGCCGAACCCTCCCTCCGATCCCAGTACGCCGATCCCAGTACGCCGCAGCGAGGGTGTTAGGCGCAGCAACCCGGACTGGGAGGAAGGCGGCGGCTTTAGGAGGTGGACTTCTGTGGTACCCGGCTTGCCGGAAACTGAGGAAGACGTTGAGGGCATGGTGATCACTCAGAAAGGCTAGTGACGGGAGAGAGGGAAAGGCTCTCGGGAAACCTTGAGAGAAAGGTTCAACGCATGGTGGTGGTGGAGAGGGACCAACGGTGTAGCCAAGATACCATTCTCATGGCTTAGGCCTGGGGGTGGGCAGGACAGAAACTTAGTCTTCAAACCTGTTTCCTTTTTTTCCACACAATTCTAGCACTGCGGGACGAGGACGGGTGGGTCAAAGGCACTGGTAGCCACGCGTGCCCTAAGAAGGCTCGGTAACTTCCCCAGGATTCTCTGTCCTTCGTCCCATCCAGGATCTGAGTCCCCAGCCTGGACCGGGCTAGCTCCGGGTTAGATTTCCATGGGATCGGACGGGTCCCCGAACTCGGGGGGGGGGGAACCTCCCAGCTCAAGCCCCTAACTCTGGAGTGGTGGGGACCTGGGAGGAGTGAGGGAGAGAGAGGGAGGTGGCCTGACTAGCCATCCCTTTAGTCTGCCCCCTCCTCGCGCGGGGCTGGGCTTCGCCTCCTGCCGAGCCAGCAAGGGTTAAAGGCGGCCGCAGGTGAGGTGGGCGGGGCCGCGGGTTGGGGGGAAAAAGGAGCGCAGGGGAGAGGATGAAGGCAGAGAGCGCGGTGAGTCACGGGCGGAGCTGGCCTCGCTCGCTCGCTCACTCGCTCACCGGCGCCCGCCCGCCCTCCGCCCTCCCGCCGGCTCTCACTGCCTCCACCGTCGCGGATCGCCCAGTCCGGTCGCAGCCCCGGCTTGCCCTCGGCTCCTGTCCCACGCCGCTGAGAGCCGGCCAGCGCGCAGGGCCCATGAGCGCCCGTCTATAGCGCGCCAGCCTGCGGTGCCCCAAGCCCTAGCGCAGCCTCCAGGTAGGAGCCGGGGTCCGCGCGGTCACGGGCGCGCGCTGCGGAAATCTGGGGTCGGGGAGTCGGGGGGGAAGGCGCTCGAAACACACCGCAGCCTGCGCTGGCTTCTTGGGGCTGGGGGCGTCCTAGAGGATCCGAGGGGCTGGGAGCTCCGACGGAGGAAAAACCGGGAGGACGGGAGGGACTGGAGGGACCAAGGGAGTTTGGAAACTGGGGAAACTGGAGCGACTGGGACAACCGGAGGATTGAAACATTGAAAACCTTGTTTGAACGGAAGTCCTCGCCACCTGGGCACCGGGGAAACGGGAGAGGCAGCGGATCCAATGGGACTTAAGGGGGTCTCTACCGTCTTTCTCCAACTGGGGAGCCGATGTGCTCGCTCTTCTTTCTTTTCGTGCAACCTTGATGGCAGGCCATTACGTGCTAGGCCTGGGCTCAGGCTCTCGGTCCAGAGAGGCCCCTTTGCAGCCTGGTCACCTTAGCCTTCCCATCCCCCAGACCCTGGGGCAGTTCCCAGGCGCCAAAAGCTCTTAGGGTCCCAGGCCTCACCGCTCCCGCCCCAACCCATTCTGGGCTGCCCCGCCCCGGCCTGAGGCTCGGTTCCTACTGCTTCACCCTGTCCCTTTCTTGTGGTAAGGCAGCCAGAGCCTGAGTAGGCACCCAAGTCCTCCTCTTCCTTGCCTTTCCCAGACTGCCAATGCTACCTCCCTGGTCCCAGAGTCGGAAGGCAGTAGGGTCAGCTGAGCCCTGCTCGGGGAAGGCCCTAAATCATTGGCCTTCTCCGCTCCAGCCCACACACAGGCAAGGTTTCAAGGCTCTAGGGAGAGATGGAGAAAAGACTGGGACCTTCGGGTCACAGATTTGTAGTAGAGAAAGGGGCAGAGGTTGTAAGGTTTTCCTTTCTTCCCTTTTCTTTCGAAACGGTCTTACTGCGTAGCCCACGCTGCGAAGTCTGGGAATATTTATGACACGGTTCCAGCACGCTTAGCAGCGGCTCCTCTTCGTTTTCTTTTATTCCCCTCTTCCTCCTTCCTCCCTCCTTCCCTCTCTCCCTTCCTTCTTTTGCTTTGTGGCCTAGGCTGGCCTGGAACTCTGCATTCTTCTGCTTCAACTTCCTGATTGGCTGGATTAAAGGCTCGCATCACCACACCCAGGCCAGATCTTTAGGTTTCTGCTGGGCCTTGGGTTTCTAATGTTTTAAGAAAGAGACCTGATTCACAGAGGGACTGCAGAGTGTGTTTGTCGATTGAATGGTTAAATGAACATTTTATTCTAGTCGCCGATCCAAATTCGGCTTTCTTTAAATGAGAGCAGGCTCGGGACAGTAGCTAGCAATACTTGGCTGGACATTATAGGCTTCTATAGGTTTTATTCCGTGCTTGCCCTTGGGTTCTAGGATAAGGGATACCCGGCTCCTTCAAGCTCTGGTGCTGTTTCCTTTAGGGAGCTGCGGTTAGATTTTCTTGAGTGTCTAACAAGCATCTCTGGGTGATCCTTTTCTGTGGTAATCCCACCCCTCCCAGCTTCATATGGAGGGAAAGCAGGTAGGTGAGGGAATGGGTCAACCAAGCTAGTCAGGAAGCAGGGGAGTGTGCGGAGAGATTAGACGCTTTTCCACAGCGTAACAGCGGGACTGGGACTGGCTTTAGCAAAAAAGCTCAGGACTTATTCTGGGCTTTCTGAAGAGCAAGCAAATCACCTCAAACAGTCAGAAGCAGACATATCCTACCCTACCTGATCTGTGTCCTCAGTTAGACTGGGGCTAAGACGTATCTAGCTCGTCCCTATAGGTCGGCAGCAAGTGGGGGTGGGGGGATGCCCAGACGTCTGTGCGGAGATGGCTCCAGTGGCATTGGGACCAGCCCAACTTCGGTAGATTTAAGCAAAGTCTTAAGGGCGGGGTCACTTAGAGGAAAGGCCATCTTGTGCCCTGACCTGGACTTTCACGTTCATTCCTTCCTAGCATTCCCAAGCTCTAACTGATTTGTTGTCTTCATCCAGAGGCACGCCCCTTTTCCTGATAGGGGCTCTGAAGGAGCACTTTGCTGGGAAGGGATCTGGGTCAGAAGGGAAAGTAAGCAGGTTACCTTCCTCACATCTCATCCTCGCCTCTTCCAGGTCCCACCTGAGTTACCCTTGACCGTCCCTGCCCTCATTCCACCCCGGATCCCGGCAATGCTAACCGCTGTCTGTGGCTCTCTGGGCAGCCAGCACACCGACGCGCCTCACGCATCACCACCGCGCCTCGACCTGCAGCCTCTCCAGACATACCAGGGTCACACGAGCCCGGAGGCCGGGGACTACCCCTCCCCGCTGCAGCCTGGGGAGCTGCAGAGCCTCCCGCTGGGCCCGGAGGTAGACTTCTCACAGGGCTATGAGTTACCAGGGGCCTCCTCGCGGGTAACCTGCGAGGACCTGGAAAGTGACAGTCCCTTGGCACCGGGACCCTTTTCCAAGCTCCTGCAGCCGGACATGTCACATCACTATGAATCGTGGTTCCGGCCGACTCACCCAGGCACGGAGGATGGTTCGTGGTGGGACCTTCATCCCGGCACCAGCTGGATGGACCTCCCGCATACTCAGGGAGCGCTGACCTCACCTGGCCACCCGGGGGCGCTTCAGCCGGCTTTGGGAGGATACGTCGGAGACCACCAGCTCTGTGCTCCGCCGCCCCACCCGCACCCGCATCACCTCCTCCCAGCCGCTGGTGGGCAGCACCTCCTGGGGCCACCCGACGGGGCTAAAGCCTTGGAAGCGGCGGCACCAGAGTCCCAAGGGCTGGATTCCAGTCTGGATGCAGCGGCCCGACCCAAAGGCTCCCGGCGATCTGTGCCCCGCAGCTCAGGGCAGACCGTGTGTCGCTGCCCCAACTGCCTGGAGGCGGAGCGACTCGGGGCTCCGTGCGGGCCCGATGGGGGCAAGAAGAAGCATTTGCACAATTGCCACATCCCAGGTTGCGGCAAGGCGTACGCTAAGACGTCGCATCTGAAGGCGCACCTGCGGTGGCACAGCGGCGACCGACCCTTCGTGTGCAACTGGCTTTTCTGCGGCAAGCGCTTCACGCGCTCCGACGAGCTGCAGCGCCACCTTCAGACCCACACGGGGACCAAGAAGTTCCCCTGTGCGGTCTGCAGCCGAGTCTTCATGCGCAGCGACCACCTGGCCAAGCACATGAAAACCCACGAAGGAGCCAAAGAGGAGGCGGCGGCTGCCGCGGCCCAGGGCGAGGGCAAGGCCGGTGGCGTGGTGGAGTCGCCCGGGGGCAAAGGCAAACGTGAGGCCGAAGGCAGCTCGGCGTCCTCCAACTGAGCCCCATGGATGTCGCATCCCTGCCATTCTTTATAGGGGGGCGGCCTGAGTAAGAGGGAAGATGGTTATTTATTGGTGGTGAGGGGACAGGGAAAGGGGCGCTAGGGGTTTTTAGTCTCGGGGTCTGCATGGGAGGCTGCTTGAATATTTAGGCTGCCAGGAGCTGAACACGCCCCTCGCTTCTTCTCTTTCTCACTATTTCACCCTCCCCTGAGTTGCTGAAGAGTTGGGATGGAGCGCCCCTACCATGTGGAAGGGTTCGGACCGTAGAGATGGCATGTCCCAGGAGCTGAGGGAAATCCAGATTGGGTCGGGGCGTTGGGATAACTGTCTAGACACGTCGTTAGCTCCTGGGAACCCGGACATAAAAGCACCTCGGAGCCGCCCTTCAGCCTAGGTCTCTTTTATCCCCCCCTCCCTTCAAGTGCTGCTTCCTCTAAACTTTCCGGAGAGAAAGCGGAGATGAGGTGGCGCAGGGAGCCTGAGGTGGTTCCCCTTAAGGGGCTGTCTACCTAGCTTGGAAGGTTATTACTGTAGGAAGAACTCCTTTCAGTGAACTTCTAAACTCTTCCAGATTCGGTTTGGTAGAGCCGGGAAGGACAACAACTCAGCTCTGCAGCCCGAGCTGTGAGCTGAAGATCAGAGCTGGATGACATAGAGGGATCCAGCAGGGGAATCCTCCTACAAAGTGGAAGAACTAACCCCTTCTTTCAACTCCGATTCCATCCTTAACTCTTACCTTTTAAAAGATCAAACTCAGCAGTTCACATTCCCCCTCCTGTTACCCTAGGTAGTTTTCTGAAGTCAGCCACCAGCATCAGCTCTAGAGTTGACATAAACACCCCCACCCCACTCCCAGGTCCCCATTCCTTGCTTTCCCTTTGGGGATGGAAGGGAGAGGGGTTGTCTTAGCAGAGGGGAAGCATGGAAGACCCTGCTCGGACTCCCCCCCCCTTCTTAGCTTGACCCTTCCTGTGCTCCCTCCATTACTATAGAGTCCTCCCCAGCAGAAAATCTCCTTCCATGTGAAGAAGGGTTGTCCCCACTGGAAGGGATTCTGGGGAGCTGTCTCTCTGTCCCCTTCTTTAGATTCTAGAGATACATTTGGGTTTTGATCATAGGGTGAGAGAGAGTAGACTTCTGCCTGGCAGATGGCAGGACCCTGGGGCTGGGGGCACTCTCAGGTTTGAGGTAGAGGCCTTGAGTCCCTCCGACCTCTCTCTCTTGCTCTCTTCTCTCTACCCAGAACCCTCTGCAGGGAATAGCTGTGTGTTGATTTTTTTAAGTTATAAGCAAAGGGTATTTTATTTAATAATTAGGGTGTGAGTGTGTGTATGCCTGTGTTGTCTGTACCTGTATGTGTGCATGTATGTGTTTCTCTACTGAGCCTGGGGTCTCCTGAGACCCCATCTTGTTCACCCTGTCCAAGGCCTGGGGCCTAGACCCATGGCATTTCTCCCTCCATGGGGGATGCTGGAGCCCAGTCCAAGGACTGGGAACTGTATGGGAGGTAGGGGCTGGGATCTGGGTAGGAATATGTGTTTGTGTAGAAAGGCCTCCTCCTTAAAAGGGACAGGGTGTCTCCCTGTGGGACTTAGGGGCCTGAGGTAGTTTAAGAATAAGGTTCTTTCTGTATTCTCCCTCTTTCCCCACCTCCTGTTAACCTAGCCAGAGGTTCCCTTTCTTACAAAGAGGGCTGAAGGCAAGAGCAAAGTTGGCCATGCCTACAGGTTGCCTGGCTAGGTGTAGAGGGGGAGAAAGAAGGGCACCGTGGGTGTGGGGTGTTTTCTCCTCCACCCATCGAAACCAGCCACCCTCTCCCTGTGCTACCAAGATAGCCTTTTCCAATGACCATGCTTAGGGGAAGTCCTACATGGGGTACTGGGGGGTACGTAGGTCCTCCCTCTTATAGAGGCCTTGAACCCTGAGGTGGGGCTCGGATAGGTTTTTGTCTGGCCTGCTCTTTATCAATCTAGGTTTTTCAGCAGCCTGTCCTTCCAGGCAGCCCATCTAGAGGAAAATGTAGGATTTTTTTTTCTTTAACTGCTGTGAACCCACTTGGGGGTGAGGAGGAGGAGGCAGAAACAGCCTGTGTTTTTTATGCAACAATAAAGTCATCAACCAACCATACTCTTGCTTTATTTGTCTTCCAGCTCAGCCCAGCCTCCTATTTCAACTCCATCCCTCTGCAGTGAGGGCTGGGTAGGGGGATCTGTGGGCAAGCATCAATCACCTCTATTCAATTGGCTGGGTCAGAGCTCAGATCTGATGCTATCCTGGAGGGAATGGCTGCCTCTGGTTGATAGACTATGGTGTTCGTCTGCGGAGATGAGAAGTTTCAAGATGTTTCCTTGCTTTACATATAAGTCTTACCCACCCTAGGATTCCCTCCTTCCCAAGTTATAGCTGGCCTCTGGGTTCCCCCTCCCCCACCCCCCACCCCATGGGAGCATGCATGTCAGCCGTCCCTCTGGCTGTGAGGGAGGTGGGGGTGACTGACAGCGATTTCTTCACCCAGGATGATTCCTATCAGAGACAAGGCGATGAAAGGCAGCCAAGATATCTGATGGGCGGCTGCCCAGCTGGAAAGCGTGAGGGAAAGGTTGCTACTACTACTCAAAGCAAGAAACCTGCCAGGGTTACGCAACCTCGGTGTGCACAGACGCACCCTCACAGAACTCACTATCTTCAGAGACTGGCAATGCCCATCCATTGTTGGTACCTAATGTCAGTGAGAGTCTCATGACTCCAGAGGGCCAGTGTGTGGAAGGTGACAGGGCATTTGTTTTGTTTTCCTGTCTCTGTAGGGTAAGGTTTGTTGCTGTGCTCTTCCGCCAGTCTGTTTTTCTTCGAATATATAGTTTTCTCATCTTGGGATTCCTATCCCTTAATGACCCCTAACCCAATTTCTCCAGCCAAATCTGGCTCTCAGATTGGCCCATCCCGTCACCCGTCTGAGAAATTGTGGGGCCTTAGAGTTTTAAGGGAAACTTGGAAAGCGGCATCAGGATGCTTTAGGGACTGTGGAGAAAACCTAGATTGGTGGGGGTAGCAGTAGGTGGGGGAGCCTGTTTCCATCTGTTACTGGATTTAACAGTTCAGAGTCTTGTTTACCTGTGACCTCCTGCCTGAGGCTTTCCTGCAGGGCACCTCTTTTGTCTTCCTGGTTTTGGGGGGAATTAGACCCCAGAAACCTAGTGAGTCCCCTCCTTTTCCCCATATCTGCCTCCAGGGACAGGAGGGCAGCTGTAGGGCCGGCTGGGCTTGTCTGGGCAGGGCCAGGGCCCTCCCTACTCCCCTTGCAACTCCTCCAGCTGACCTGCATTCTTAGCAGGGGCCTTTGGTGGGGCTCTGATGCATGCTTGATCCTCTGCAATGCTGCCTGGCTGGCCTGGGCCCCTGAAGGAACTCAGGGTCACCTCTGACCCCTCAGAAGTGGAACCCCAGCAGGACCGTATTGTACAGGAGACTCTGGGAAGAAAATCATCATGTTTGGATTGGCCCTCTGGACGACTTCTCTGAGTCCTCTCCTAACCAGAGAAGTAAAGTAGAATGCCTCTAGGGCGAGTGAATGAAGTCAAAAGTGGAAACTTGACGGATAGCAGCCTGGGGTTGCAGCCACCGCCTTCTTCGGCTCCGCCTGCTCTTCCGGCTGCCTCCTTCCTCGGCCTGTCCCGCCCCCCAGCGGACATCTGAGGAAGTGCAGAAGAGGAACCTGCTTTCCCAGCAGGGCGCCTCGAGTGTCCGTGGGTAGCTACAGCTTCAGTTGAGGTTTGAGGTGGGATGACAGCCAATGGGACCTTGCACCCCTCCTTCAAAACGCACCGAAGCAACTCTTACGTGTCCATTAATCCTATACTGCCTTTTGATGATCATACTAGCAATGTAGGTTTTAAAAGAATCTTAAAAACAAAATCCACCAAAGAACCATTAGAACTAATCAAGTAAGTCACAGAACACAGACAACAATAAGACATATTTCTTTAAAAATTTTTAATGTGTTCGAATATTTTGCCTGCATGTATGTATGTACACCACATGTGTGCAGTGTCCTTAGAGACTAGAAGAAGGTATCAATACCCTGGAACTGGAGCTTCAGGTGACTGTGCTGTCTGAAGATTAGGAAGAACGTCAGCTCCATCCTGATTTTAATTCCAAAGATGCAATCCCAGTGAGGTAGAACGGGCAGCCACAAGCCAGGAGCCATATGAATCATTTAGGTTACTTAGCTGTGTTATTTTATTTTTCTAAAGATTTCTTTTTATTTAGTAATATGTGTACAAGGAATATGAACACTTGGCTGCAGGTGCCCACTGAGGCCAGAAGAGGGCACGGATCCCCTGGAGCTGGAGTTACAGGACAATGTGAACTACCTGGTCCAGGAGCTGGGAACCCAACGCTCGGTCTTCTCTGCACATGCACACACACATACACATACTCATGCACATGGATGGACACACGTACACACATGCTTCTGTGTTTATACATCCATGGAATCCCTAGAAGTAATTCCTAGGGGTCATGTAAGTGTGTGAGACGAAGTGTTGACTACAGAGATGATTCATAAAGGAAAAATAAATTGAAAACCAAAAACATATGAAGTCTGAATCCAGTTCCACACCACTGTATGCCCCTCTGAACCCAAATTTTTCCTTTCTGATCTCCTTCTTACTGTACGTAGAAGGTAGAAGTATCACATTTTTTGCAACTAGAATATTCTAAATCTCCTTTCAAAGTTATCTTTCTATACTATTAAGCACCTAGTGGGCAGAACTGAACTTGGAGTTTTGGAGACCGGCGGGTTTTGTGTATGTCTCCTTCTGACATGGGAATACATGGGGGCCAGGGAGATGGCCCAGTCAGTAGGGACCCAAACAATACAAGCATGAAGGCCTGAGTTCTATGTCCAGCACGTGAATTATAACCCTAGCCCTTCGGAGGTGGAGACAGGAGACTCTCTGAGTTTGCCATCCAGCCAGTGAAGCAGAATCAACAAGATCCAGCCTTCACCATGCAATGGTGGCGCATGCCTTTAATCCCAGCACTTGGGAGGCAGAGGCAGGCGGATCTCTGAGTTCAAGAGTTCGAGGCCAGCCTGATCTACAGAGTGAGTTCCAGGACAGCCAGGGCTACACAGAGAAACCCTGTCTCGAAAAAGCCAAAAAAAAACAAAAACAAAAAAAACAAAAAAAGAGTGAATATTGATCTTGCAGAACACCTGAGTTCGGTTCCCACCATCCATACTAGGTGGCTCACAGTCACCTGTGACTCCAGCTTCGGGGGATAGAACACCCTCTTCTGGCTTCCGTGGGTACATGCACCCCCTTACACGTAAACCCCCCCCACATGTTTACAAAATTTAAAAACTTATTTTATGTGTATTGATGTTTTGCCGGCATATGTGCCTGAGCACCACATATGTGCCTGGTGTCCATGGAGGCCAGAGAGAGCATCAGATTCCCTGAATCTGGAATTACAGACAGCTGTGAGCCACTGTCCACGTGCTGGGAATACAACCCATGCTGTCCTTAAGAGCAGTTAGCGCTTTTAATAGCCCAACTATCTCTCTAGCCTCTAAAAATAAATTTAAAAAAATTAGTAAAATAAAGGCAGGTGGTGGCGGCACATGCCTTTAATCCCAGCACTTGTGAGGCAGAGTCAGGCGGATCTCTGTGAGTTCGAGGCTAGCCTGGTCTACAGAGAGAGTTTCAGGTCAGCCAGAGCTACACAGAGAAACCCTGTCTTGAAAACAAAACTAAACAAACAATCAAAACAGTAAAATAAACAATGCCATCCATAACTTAAGGTATCTCTATGCTTCCTTCTTGTGTCTGCCCAGTTTTCCTGGGATTGTGTCTTTGAAATTCAACTCAGGAAGCAGGTAGCGAAAGTTTTTCCTTAATCTCCAGAACCCTCAGAAGTGTTGGCTATTTTATGAATTCTTTCTTTTCACTCCGGTCTTCTTTCCTCCTTCAGCTTCACCTCCTATTAATGACTCTATCTGATAAGCCTGAAGGGAAAACCCAGGCCACTTAAGCAGCATTGGAAAGGCCTCTCCGCTCTATGAAGTGGTGCTAGCTAGCGCGCGCCCTCGTGGAGGACGGTAGTATTGCAGGCGTTCTGTGCCGGCCCCGCCCCCGGGGACAAAGGCCTTCCAGGTCACGCACCAGAGAACCTGGGTGCAGAGGAACAGATCTGACCTGAAGAGGAGGAAGTGGCGCCCGGAACCGAGTCTGAGGGTCTTGGAGGCAGAGAGGGTGAGAGACGGAGGCACTGAGGAAAGGGTCGGACGGAAGAGGAGCGTGAATGTGGGCATGCGCAGGAGCGTGGGCTTCTTGGAGCCTGCGTTTTAGTGCTTGAGACTATCCTACAGCCAGCCTGGAAGGGCTAGGACTCAAAGCGGACGCTCTTGCAGAGTTTGCTCTGTCTCCTGACTCCAAGCCAAGTGCACTGTTAGTGCACACCACGCTTTGAGTGTGCACACAGTGCTGTTGTCCCAGAGCGGCAGGCATTTGACCTTGTCTTCTCAGAGTGTATATGTGAGGAGGGAGTGTTCTAGGTCCCACCGGTGGCCAAGATTGTGGAGACGTGGGAGGGAGGTGAACATCCCTACTTCTTCGCAGATGTCGTCGTCGAGCCCCGATGCCCCTTGTTCCTGTGACTGCTTTGTCTCTGTGCCCCCGGCCTCAGCCATCCCAGCTGTAATCTTTGCAAAAAACTCGGACCGGCCCCGAGATGAGGTTCAGGAGGTGGTGTTTATACCAGCAGGCACTCACACTCCTGGGAGCCCACTTCAGGTGAGTTAGGACTTAGAAGGAACTGGAAGCTTTAGACATTAGTCTAAGACCTTCGTTTTCTTGCCCCTGGGGTGGAAGCAGATGAAGTGGAAAGAGTATGGACTTCGAGTCCACCAGCCTGGACCCTTGAGTCGAGTTAGCTTCTGTTAATTCAGTTTACTCATGTGTGACCTGAGAAGAAGACCTTTCTCAGGGCCATTTAAAATGGCTGACAAAGTGTCCGGGCAATGTAAATTCTGGATCTTTTTCCCCCTAGAGAATTCTTCCTCTCTCTCCTTTGTCTCCAGTGCACCTACATCAAGGTGGAGCAGGTGTGGAAGACACATGCTGTGATTCTGAGCCGCCCTTCTTGGCTGTGGGGGGCTGAGATGGGAGCCAACGAGCTTGGGGTCTGCATTGGCAACGAAGCGGTGTGGACCAAAGAGCCTGTAGGGGAGGGGGAAGCCCTGCTGGGTATGGATCTACTCAGGTACAGTCACATCTGCTCGCTCGCTCTTCAACGCCCCACTCCTTCTCACCTAAGGCTTGCGTCTGTTGGGTTTGTCTCCTTTGGCCTTGCCCTTGTGGCCTTCCTAAGGAGGCTACAGTCTTATATCTTCACAGTCTGATAAAGAGCCTCCCTTGGCCTAGAGTGCTTTTTTTTTTCCAGTACTTTTTGTTTTTTGTTTGTTTTGAGACAAAGTTTCTTAAAGCCTTGGCTGTCCAGGAACTTGCTCTGTAGACCAGGCTGGCCTTGAATTCACAGAGTTCAAGGTGCCTGTGCGCCACCACACACAGCTCAGTACTATTTTTGTTAACTGAAACATTCCATAGTTCTGATTTATAAAAACTGATAAATGCGGGGCAGCTCCGCCTGAGGAGAACTTCAGGCTCTTCTTCCTTGGAGAGAATGTTCCAGACCTTTCCGTGGAATTCTCAGTTCAAAGCTTGGCCACCATATGGCTTATTATTGTTTTTTCATGTTTGCTTTTGTTTTATTTTATGTTTTGAGACAGGGTCTCACTGCATAACCCTGACTGTCTTAGAATTTACTATGTAGACCCGGCTGGCCTCAAACTCACAGAGATCTGCCTCCCTCTGGAGTGCTGGGGTTAAAAGTGTACACCACTACTCCGGCTGATTTTTTCATTTTGCTTTGGTAATTTTGTCTATTTGTTTTAAGATAAGAAATCATGTAGTATGTAACTGGGTGTAGAGATGAACTTCTGACCTTCCTGCCTCCTCCCCTTCGGTGGAATCACAGGCCTGGCCTGCATGACTGTTTAATACCATCATTGCTGCTGGGTTTGCTGTGTTACATGGGCTTCTCATCAAACCTGTGTGGATCACTTCTGTGCTCTGACTTTTTTATTAGGCTGGCTTTGGAACGAAGCAGTACTGCCCAGGAGGCCGTGCATGTGATCGCGGGTTTGCTGGACCGATATGGGCAGGGAGGCAGCTGCCGGGAGGACCCCGAGCCGTTCTGCTATCACAACACCTTTTTACTGGCTGATCGGACAGAGGCGTGGGTGTTGGAGACAGCTGGGAGGCTGTGGGCTGCTCAGCGGATCCAGGGTAGGAGTCTAGCATAGAGCCTGCCTCCAAGAGGGAACCTAGACCTCCCCAGGTACTGCCCTCTGTTTCTGGACGCTACCATTTTTGTTCTCCCTGACAGCCTTGGGCAGTGGGAGAGCTGGTGGGTCATGGAGGGCCAGGGAGGGACACCCTGGGGATTAGAAATGTACGTACTTAGGAACCTTCTCCTTCACCTGGCCAAATGTTCCCGTGCTTCAGCCTGCTCCTTCCTCTGGGAAGCCATCTTGGATCTCCCTGTGTGGTTAGGAGGTCGTATGCAAGGAGCTAACGCTTTGTTGTCACTTCTGTCTCTATGATTTAGTTTTGATTCCTTTGCCAGTCTCCACATTACCACAGGCCCCTTGAGGGCGGGTTGTACCTGTTGAAACTGTCTTCTAAGTACCTCACCCAGGGCCTAGAACATAGTGGGTGCCCCATAATAGATAAACAAGTTCCTCAGCCGGGTGGTGGTGGCGCACACCTCTAATCCCAGCACTTGGGAGGCAGAGGCAGGCGGATTTCTGAGTTCGAGGCCAGCCTGGTGTACAGAGTGAGTTCCAGGACAGCCAGGACTACACAGAGAAACCCTGTCTCGAAAAACAAAAACAAGTTCCTCTTCTTACACAGGAGGTGCCCGAAATATTTCCAACCAGCTGAGCATTGGTACAGACATCTCAGCAGAACATCCGGAGCTCCGCAGCCATGCCCAGGCTCAGGGTTGGTGGACCGGGCAGGGCGTCTTTGACTTCGCGGAGGTCTTCTCCCTGACCCAGCAGCCTGTGCGCATGGAGGCTGCCAAGGCCCGCTTCCGGGCAGGGTGTGAGATGCTGCAGCGGCAACAAGGTCTGTAAGTGGCACCCCAGCTGGAGTCTCTCTCACGCCCATTTGCTGAGCCCTCTTCACTTCCTCCCCGGCAGGGAGCATCACAGCAGAAGTGATGATGGATATCCTCAGGAACAAGGAGAGCGGCATCTGCATGGACTCCGGAGGCTTCCGCACCACAGCCAGTATGGTGTCAGTCCTGCCCCAGGACCCCACAAAGCCCTGTGTCCACTTTCTCACTGCCACACCAGACCCGTCCAGGTGAGGGGTGAAGAGGACATACTGGTCAGGGACTTGACAGCACATGTCCTCTGTTACTTCAGTCCTTAACCTGTGTCTTATTAGGTCGGTATTCAAACCTTTCATCTTTGAAGTGGGGGTGTCCCAGTCCCCCCAGGTGCTGTCTCCCACCTTTGGAGCTCAGGACCCTGTTCGGATCCTCCCGAGATTCCAGACTCAGGTGGACCGTCGACACTCACTCTATCGTGGACACCAGGCAGCCCTGTGGCTGATGGAGGATGAACAGGTAACCCTGGGGACTGTGCTGAGGGCAGGTAGGAAATACCTTTTGGATATTCTGGAACCAGAAAGGGCCTGGGACTGGAGGAGGCTGTAGATCTGGGGAGAGGTGGGACCTTCAGCTGGTTTTGGGTTTCTCCTGCCTGGGGGAGAGGGTCCACATTCTTCACCTCAGACTTTCCCCACAGGAGCAGGCACAACAACTCCGAAAAAAGCAGCAGAGTCTGGAGCAGGAAGGCCTGGAGGCTCTCAGAGGACTGCTTACTGGTGAACAGACCCCACCTCCCCAGGGACTGGGCAGCCTCTTCCAAGCCTTTGTGGAGAGAGAGCAGCAGGCCTACACTTAACCCTGCAGGAGCTCTGAGGCCAGCTCCCCTGAGCTGTGGTGGGTACTGTGGGATCAATCCCAGCCATCCCCTCACCCGCTCAGCCAGGTTCTGAGTAGCTTAATAAATGTTTTATTTCCTTATTCAGTGAACTAGATCTCAAGTCTTTTGAGAAGAGCTGAGCCAGGGCAAAGGGCAGCTCCCAGCAGGCTGGTTGCTAAACCTGTGGTGCCAAGCCATAAACCCCAGTGATGGGTGCGATGGGCCCTAACTGCGTGGTGGGGTGGGGGTGGGTTGTTTGTTTGTTTGTTTGTTTTCATGAAGGCCCCTTATTAGGTAGCTGGCTACTATTTGGGGACAGTCAGGATCACAAGGTTTAGTCCTTAGCTTGGATGTCATGGTGGCATGTCTTTAAAACAATTACTCAGGAGGCAGAGGCAAGTGGATTATCTGTGAGTTTCAGGCTAGCCTGGTCTACATAGTGAGTTCCAGGCCAGCCAGGGCTACACAGTGAGCCACTATCTTTAAAAAAACCACAAAGCTATCTCACCATAAGACAGCAACCTCTGTTAGGTGCTCCTGCTTCTTGCCCACTCGAGGACCAGCAAGCCATCTGGGGGCCCAGAGAGATGTCAGCCCTTTTGGTCATCCCTAAAAGGTTGAGCTTCTTTGATGGACTTTTGCCTTTTGTCTTTTTGCCTTCTGATTTTGACTCCTTGACTTGCCCGTGTAACATGAGAAGCACTCGAAGCCCAGAGACGCTTTATTGGGGGCAGGGTCTGAGAAGGAGGCTCGTGCATAGAGGCGTTACTTTGCACTCTTTTTGTTTGTAGTTTTTGTCGTGCTGGGAGCTGCCGCCAGGGAGGTCTTGGAGGTTGTGGCTGCCAGAGTCCCCTTCCTTGCCTGGACAGAGCTTTTCTGGTTCCTGGGAACCTGCTTCTTGGTAGAAGAGGCAGTCTGGGTTGAGGTGGCTTTAGGGGCTGACTCCTTCCCAGGCTGTTGTTCAGTGACAGTGGGGCTGCAGTCCCCAGCCATGGGCACGGCAGGCAGCTGGGGCAGGTCTGTGAGGACAGGCTGTGTCTCCATCCTTGACAAGTGCTCTGTCAGGGCTGCCTGCTGCCTTCGTTCCTGATGCTGATGCAGTTCCTGCTCCAAGTCCTTGAAGAACCCTGAGGGAGGAGAGGTATGGCCTGGGCTCAGCAGAAGGGCCTGGGCTCAGGGATGTCCCTGGTAAACCTCTTGCCATCCCAGGAACAGGAGCATGGAGCTGGGACTGGGAGGGATGAGCCCTGGCATCCCCTACTTAGATCCTGCCCTGATTCCGTCAGAGGTACATCATTGGCACTCACTCACTTTATTGTGGAGAGCAGGTGGCCCTGAGGCTGATAGAAAGTGAGCGTGTCACCCCAGGGACTATGTGCCATGCTGGGAGGGTGACACACATTCCACCCTCCTTAGTGCCACTCTGGAAACATGAAGGGCCTGGAGTGGAGGCGACTGCAGAGCTGCAGAGAGATCACTCCACAGACCGAGCAGCTGCCTGGGGCAGGGTCAGTGAGCTTCCCCCAGTCTCCTGGGACAGGGTCAGTGAGCTTCCCCCAGTCTCCTGGGACAGGGTCAGTGAGCTTCCCCCAGTCTCCTGGGGCAGGGTGTGCCTGGGGAGACTGCAAGCTGTGGAAATCATCACCTCGCTCTGCGCAGAAGGGGCCATTGAGCTCTGGAAACTCCTCTTCCTCATCTGAGGATTTATCCTCGTCATCTGAAGTCCACCGCTCCAGAATAGGCTGCTTGTCCAGGTCCAAGAGCAGTGGCAAGGCTCCTATCACCATCTTCCTGTAAGGCAGAAGCACCCATGAGGGCATCCCTGGTGTGGGACCTGGGAGGGTACAGTGATGTGTGCTTTAGTGCCCAAACCTCGATGGGAATGACTTTAGGATTTAGGCCTGGGGTCAGCCTCAAAGAGCAATAGGCTGGCTCCTGCAAGGTGCTGGATACCAGACCAGAAGGTGACAGACTCAGTCTAGGGGCAGAAGGCATGATGGCTTGCAGGCTGGAAGTGTCTGCCTAGAGCACAGGTGACACTCACTCAGCTCACCCTTAGTCCCTCCTCACCTGTAGCCATCCTGGTTGGTGCAGGGATTTCCACACAGGTTGAGAATGAGAAGGCTCTGGGGGAGCTCATCTGTACAGCAGAAAGAATGTGGTCTCATGCCTGCTCTGTACCCCACCCCCCAAGAGAGACAAGCATCGAGGACTATAGCAAAAATCACAAGGAGCTTGGAGCCCAGAGGAGGGAGGACCCCACATAGGACACAGTCCATGAGCCAGAGGCAGGTGCCCCTACCTAGCTTCAGTGTTTCTATCAGGTTCTCAGAAAGGTCCAGAAACTGGAGGTACTGGAGGTCAAGGAGGTTTTCCACATGCCTGATTTGGTTTCCTGCCAGCGACAGGAAGCTGTAAGGGAGAAGAGGAGGACAGAGACAAGGCCGAGCTACAGGACTGCTGGGGGGAGGAGGGAAGAGGAGGAGGAGGAGGCTGAGCTACAGGACTGCTGGGGGGAGGAGGGAAGAGGAGAGGGCACCAGGTACTAGGCTTCCTGTGTTGGCAGCTGGTTGACAATGAGGACTTAAAGCTGTGTGGGGTGAGGGAAGCAGAGCCAGGCTTAGAGAGCCCCAAGCCAGTTCTAGGGGGTGTAGCCAGCTTCTCGCCCCCCCCCCACCTCCTCCTGCCTCCTACCCTGCCTTGGTGCCACATACCGCAGGGAGGTGATGCATGCCAGATTCTCAATGCGCCGGATCTTATTCTGCAGGAGGAAACCAGGGTGGGGAAACCAAGTTAAGGCAGCTGGGTGGGACGTCTTTGGAAGGAGATGAAGGGCCAAGACCATGTCTACGCTCAGCTGCAGCCATTACACTTGGAGAATGGCCACTCAACCTGACTGAGTAGCTGGATGTCATTTCCTTGGGGAGAGATGATTTGTTTTCTCTGGTCAATGGTTAATGTGTAAACTTGGGGCTAGTTCAATGAGGTGATCAAAGAGGGACTGGAGACTCTAAGAGGAAACCAAGGGGCCACTAGGGAAATGGAAAAGGCCTCCTTGAGGGTCTGCAAACCTAGAAGGAACGGCTATTGTATACTAATTGATCCACAAGACTTTTATAGGAGAAGTTTAAGGGCTCTGGCTATATTTATCCTAGGAAGGGCTAGAGATCACCTAACCACCACTGCATAGCCTCCAAAGGACCTAAAGGACATAGGGTGTATCAAATGGTAACTGGGTACTTGTTTAAACATTTTTAATGGCTGTGTGTGTGTGTGTGTGTGTTTCAAGAGGACATCTGCGTAGAGGTCAGAAAACAAACAAATGGATAGTTCTCTCCTACTATGTGGGTCCTGGGATTGAACTCAAGTTACCAGTCTTGGCAGCAAGCCCTTTTATGTGCTGAACCATCTTGCCAGCCCTTTGTTTGTTTGTTTGTTTGTTTGTTTGTTTGTTTATAGACACAGTCACTTAATTTGGCCTTGGCTGGCCTCCAACTCAGAGATTTGCCTACCTCTGCTTCCCACGTGATGGGACCAAAAGCATGCACCACCACATTTGGATCTATATTTATTTTAAGAAAGAGTTTTGTGTGGCAGATTGGGACTTCCTGTGTAACCTCGGTAACCCCAATCTTGTGAGTCTTCTGCTTCAGCCTCAGTACTGGGGTTACAGGCATGTGCCACCACCCCCAAACGAAAACAAGCTTGAGCCTGGGAGGACCTTCTCCAGTCTAGAAGGTCTGGAATCTAGACCAAGAGAAGTACCTGAACGATAGCAATTCTAGAGCATGTTCAGGAGCTCTTGATAAGGTGGAGTAGGAAATCAGTCTTTTTGCTTGTTTGTTTTGCTTTGTGTTTTTGAGGCAAGGTTTTTCTATGTAGTCATGTCTGCCCTGGAACTCACTCTGTAGACAAGGCTGGCCTCAAACTCACAGGGATCCACCTAACTCTGCCTCCCAAGTGCTGGAATTAAAAATGTGTGCCACCACTACACAACCAGAAAACAGAGTTTCAAATCAGGAGAATTCCTGATTCATTGGGGAATGTTCTCCTGGCCAAAACACCAGAAATACAAACGAAGATAAGCTGGTCAGCTGTTTTCAGATTAGACAGACTAGGTTCACAGCAGGGAGAGGTCAGGAAGCAGGAGGAAGGGGGCATTACCGATTGCAGATAGAGGCTGTGAATATTCCGGAGGCGCTCTAAATTTCCAATACAAGTGATTCCTTCCCCATCCAGGCGGACAGTCTCCAGTTCATCCAGAGTGTGAAACCTGGAGGAGAGAGAGCAGGGGTTCACACCTGTGGCCTTCAGTAGATATGGGTGGGAGGGAAGAGGGAAGGAAAGGAAGAGGGCTGAGTAGTTTTGAGATGTCAAGGAAGCTTTGTGACACTAGTCTAAGTCATCAGACTGGCTGGTCTCAGACGCATGGCTCTCCAGTGGTGGCACTGAGAAAGCAAAGCACAAGCTGACAGGGGCCCTCTGGATAACTGGTAGATGGCCGTTCATGCTTCCTGGAGATTCAGAACAAGAGATGCTTTCCTTGGATGGCAGAGGCAAGGCTGGAGTCAGAATAGATGCAGAAATACTCTATCTCCTGGCAGAACCTTTCTCCCTTTTGAATGATCCTAGAAGGAAAATCTCTTGTTCTATCCTTATACTTATTATTTCCAAATTTACTGAGTGTCCTACAGACAAATGACCTAGGTCCTTGCCCATCATTATTAGGGAAACCCGAGAGATAGCTATGAAAGTAGACGCCAGAGGCAGGAACGAGAAATGAAAGTGGGTACATGAGTTATGTACCAACTCCAGACTGGGGGCTGCAGGAGCTTCCTAGAGGAGGTGACCAATGCAGGGGGCAATGAGAGAGGAAGGGGGAAGGGGACAAGCCATGTCAAGCAGAATAAACAGTGCATGCATGTGCTAATCCAGCCTATCTTGAACTTGCATGTGCCTGTGAATCCCTTGGGTACTGGAAGACGTGGATTCCAATTCAGTAGGTTTGAGACGGGTATCCTTTTTTCTTTCTCGTAAAGACAAAGAGCTTCCTGTAGCCCTGGGTGGCCTCAGACTTTCTATGTAGCTGAGAAGGACGATCTTGAACTTC